TTTTCATGAAGAAAAGACAGGGTATTAAGAATAGGGGAGCATGTCCTAAGGCAGCAGTAGAGGCACCTGCCAAGGTCACTCCCAGTCCTGTGTAGAGGGCAGAGACTCACCCAGCCAACTAATGCTTTTTTGGGCCATTTTTGGGGTAGAATCCAGTCCAAAGTTTTTTCCTATTCTTTGCAATACTTTTAAAAGAAATACACCTTGGTAGGGGGTGGACAAATCAGGTATAGGAGGGTCATTTGTATAGTGTGGATGGAAACTAGACTTTCAGTGGAGATGATAATACAGCAGTTATAGATATTGAACTATAATGTACACCTGAAATCTACATGATGTTATAAAGCAATCCTACTTCAATTGTAATTTTTTAAGTACATTTATTAATAAACAAACATGCAAAATGGAAACAATTAGGGTATTTAGGAAAACTCAAAAATTAAAAAGAAACTATGTGAAAGCATATTATATTTGTTTACTCTCAGGCAAATAAATTGCTTCAGTCAATTAGTTAACTGGGTTTTGCCTGTGATTGTGGGGTTTTCCTCTGCCTGCCAAAGCTGCAGGCTTTCCTCTGCCTGCCAAAGCTGCAGGTGTCAGTGTTGCTGTAAGCCGTCAGCAGCATTTCTCTGTTTTACCTGGGTCTTAAATGACTTAGCATTTTAGAGAAGAGGCACATAGAATTATAGGGTAGGAACTAAATGTTTTTTGCAACTAGGACAATCAGCCCAAGCAGCCTGGACCATTGGTAGCGTGATAGAGCACCCTCTTCTCTAGCTTTATCCTTGAAACGCTGGTTAAATTGTCAGCACTTCAGAATCTCTACATAGTCCAGCAGTTACCAGTTGCCCCCTTCTGTGTGTGTTTTGCATGTTACTTCAAATATCCCTTCATTCCAATACTTACCACATTCCCCTGGAGTTGTTTGTGTACATATCCATCTTCCTCAGCAGACTAGAGATACCTCAACAGTGACTTATCCTTGAACATAGGAAGTATCCCACAATGACTACTGAACAAATGAAAGGACAGCTACATGCTAGTGTAGTCTGATGTGTGTTTCCTGTGAAAATGGACAGGTGCTTTGGAAAGATAAATCTGATAAAAATTGTACTATTGCATTGTGTCAAAAAGAGAACACATAGGGGCCCTCCCTGGTGGCGCAGCGGGTTAAAGCACTAGACTAAGAAGCTTAAGCCACTTCTGCATGAGTTCGATCCCGCCTGCCCCGCAGGAGAGCCACATGGCGTGGCAGACCTCTCCTGACCCGCCCGCTGCTCCCCTCAGCAGTGTACTTCATAGATCTGCCTGTTCTACTCCCCACTCTGTCCCTGCTGTACCCTCTCACCCTCCGCATCTCTGGCCTGTACCCCAGTTCTGTATGAATAAATAAATCTTAAAAAAAAAAAGAGAGAGAACACATAAAGATGGGGAAGGGATATGTAGAAATCTTGAAAGAATTGCCTCTCATGTTAAGTGTCCTTAATGGTTAATTTTACTTTATAAAATCCCAAATTGGAAATTGTTGAAGGTTTCTTAAGATTGGTTTTTGGGACACCCTTGAGTAAACTCATACCACAACAGAAGTCCTAGTTCCATATCAAAGACTATGTGTTTCAATCAAAATGCAGTATCTAAGGTGTACCTGTATCATTTTTACCTGTCCAAGTCATGCATTGTCTTATTATGATTGGGAATGAGGTGAGAGACAGTCTGCCTCCCTCACTAGATTGAGTTTCTTGAGAATAGGGACCACACCTTGTTTGATTTGGTAGCACCTGTGCCAGGGAAGTGTTTGGATCTTAGAGGATTATCACTAATCTTGACCTACAGTGACTGCTGCATTTAAATGAAAGAAACATTCAGTGAAGGTTACTCTGAGTCAATCACCCTAAAGAAGAGCACCTTAAATGTGCTGGAAATCTGTGGCAATACTATGCCTTCTTTGTGTATATGTTTCCCTTGTTTACTCTGGGTGAGGGAGGGGTTGCTGATTGATTCCATCTTTTCTAACCAATAAAAGGATCAAGTAGTAATCACTATCTCATTATGTAATAGGATAATCTCCATCAAAAAGGGGAGCTTCCATGTTCCCTGCCCCATTTAATTAATGAAGGGTGGAGCTGAGACTTGGAGGAGGGACGTGGAACAGAGAGAGATGTGAGGAAGAAGGGTACAGTTGCTTCTCAGCTTGAAACTTGCATCAGGGATTTGGGGAAGATGGAAGGAAACACATGGAGTTGAGGCATATAACAACACTTGGGAAAAACATGAGTGAGAGACACATGGGGAGGTTGACAATGACAGCCATTACCTTGAGTTGTGTTTTGATTTTGCTCCTTTCATCCCAGTCCTGCCTGGTCCCTTCTGCCCATTTCTTATGGTTTCTGCCAGAAGGTGCCTTAGACTTGTGGCAAGTTTTTAGGCCTCAGCAATTGGCTTTGGGCCAACCATATTTGGCTGAACATTTACCCATGAGGAATTTGTAACTTTGGGTGTTCAGTTTGCAAGCTATTATCTTTTGTCTAAGCATACTAATCCTACTAAAGCCCCTGTGCACTAAGAGAATGCTTTGTTTTTGTGTGATGGGTGGCAGAACCCATTTAGAGTATGCAAGTTTGGGGGTCCCAGGATACCCCTTATTCTGTTCACTAACAGTTAAGCTGACTATTAAACTCCAGTCAGTTACTAAAAGGAAGAAAAGATGAGAAAATAGGAAGAAAAAGATTCCTCATGCAAATGTGGTCAGCAGTAGTAAGGATTATAAATTGCTACATTTTAGGCCACAGTGTTTTATACTGGAGTTTGGGAAATCTGTGGACAGTATGCATATGAATGGACAGACTTCACTGCTTCCTTCCTCTGAATGACACTTCTACCAGTTCCGGTATGCTGGAATCATAGCCTCCACAAACACAGCTGCTAGTTGCTGCTGCCTTTTCAGTCATATCTGTCCTCTCCCAGGAGCAAGTGGGTAGTGAGATGAAAAGGAATTCAAGACATTGCTTCTAAAATAAGAAAGAGCTGATTATTTTATTTTTCACCAACTAGATGGATCATCTGTGATGTTATATAGGATCTTAAATAATGCAGTTTGGGTCCCAGAAAGCTGAGGCCTCTATTTCACAAGTCTTTAGCAGTAGGAAAAGAAAACCTTACTAAGTTCAAGGTAAGATTTAATTAAGCCTAAAATAAGATAAACAGTTCAGTTTACAATTATCATGGGGTCTTGAAGTAGTTGACCTGGAGGCTGAGGGCCAGAGTACCAGAGTATTTGGGGGGTGGGCCAACCTGCATTTTAGTCTCAACTTTGCCCCAAACTAGTGAGTAGGGTTGTTACCTCCTTTCCCTCAGCACCAGAGGTACATTGCCCAGATGTAAAATGCAGGGTAGGGAAACTAGACAAACGATTCCAACCCTTTTCCAGGTGGAAACAGACATGTATTTCTTTTCCAGGAAGTAACTGGTAGGACTCACCCTTAACTTCCTTCTGTTTTAAGAACACAGTCTCTTGAGAGGTGATACAAAAAACAGCAATCATGCAAACTGCTATTTCTCTATCCACACTTAATTTACCTTCTCTCTTAGGGCAAGATCTGGCACTGTCCAAAATGTAGTTGGAACTGATATAAAAAGACTTTTTCTTTTTTTGCAATGAAATTAGAACAGGATGTTACTGTTAAAACTTCACATAAATCCAAAATGTGCTAGCTGGTGAGCAGCACAGACACTCAAACCCAGTATTCCCCTCTAGCTGCTCACAGTTGAAGGGAGTGGTAGCAGTTTATTCAAAATGAGTAAGAACATAAATAGAAAGACATTTAGAGAGTGCACAAACACATCTTTAAAGTTTTTTGACTCCTTTATTTTTCTTTCCCACCTTCCCATGGTGAAGGGCAAACAACAGCTACTCTATCTTCAGGTGTCAGTCTGGAAAACTGGCAGTCTTCCAGAAATATGATTAGGTATACAAATAAAGTCCCATCTCTTGCCTCCTGAGAGTATAATTTCACCTGTCCTTTCACAGGAGGACCCATTTGGGATAAGCCATGCAGCTCCTAATGTCTTTTTATAGATCTTGAGCCAGTTCTATCCCATTGATTTGTGGCATTATGCAACCAGTTAATGTACAAGGGGTGTGAGTCCCAGTATTGTCACTAAGGTTAGTCACTACAGCTTCCTCCTTACCTCTGCTTGTTCCATACTATCCGGTTATATAAGAGAGTTGCCTCATGCTGTCATTGATAAAATCTTAGAGGCCTAGAATCTAGACCAAAAATCTCAAGTTGGGCATCATTTACTCTACCCTTATAGGGCCCTTCCTAGTTGCTGAACCCACGGAAGTACTGTAGGAATACTTCAGGGATAGACAGAAGTCATTTACTGGTCCATCATTATCCAGCTCCTGGGGCTGGCCCCTGCTTATTGACTTTGTGGAGAGGGCACAGCTTCAGCTAACCAATGTACCATGAGGAAAACAGAATGAGCTTCAAAGGGGCGAATGTGCATAACACACGGGCAAGAATTATCATCACCTATGATGGTGCTGTTTTTTTATGAAAGCTGGACTGCGGAGACTGCCAGCCCAGGTTTGAATCTGCTCACTTGGAAAAGACTGCAAGTCTCAGTTACTACATTTGTAAAACGGGGGGGGAGGAAGTAGCAGTCAATGTCTGGGGTGTGGGTTCACGAGGCTTATGGCTGAGCTGGGAAGAGAGCAGAGTGAGAGTCCCTGGTTGTCAACTGTTGCCGCGGTTAGTGCAAACCACCAGGTAGGCAGCAAAGCCCTTCGAGGACCGGGCCGATAAGGCCTGTTGGTTTCAAGCATCCTCCTTGATCAAATAAACACTTTGTTCCAGCGGCAGGAAAGCCTGCTTGATAAAACACGGCCACGGGGGAGCTCCGGCACCCGCTGGGATTGGCCGGACAAAGGGTGAGGCTGGCCGGGCTGCGCGTGGGGCCTCTCGGTCACCTCGGACGGCAGGGATCCGCCTCGGACCTGAGCTGGTGGAGCAGCTCCCACAAGCAGGGAGCCCGCCCGGGACCCCGCCCAGAAGGCAGCCGGGTCCCTTGGGCTGGGCCCTGCTGGCAAAGCCGACGGGGCGGAGAGGAGCGCGGCGGGAGGAGGAGTAGGAGGAGGGGGCTGGTCTAGGGAAGTGCGACGTGTCTGCGGAGCCTTTTTATACCTCCTTCTCCGGAGTCTGGAAGCCGCCGCCGCCTCGCGTCTCCGCTCCCAGGAGCGGCTCCGAGCTCCTGCGCGCCCGGCACCGCCTCAGCCAGCCAGCAGCATGTCGGGGGTCAAAAAGCAGAAGACGGTAGGCTTCCAGCCGCCTGCTTCCCCCTCCCCTCTTCCCTTTCCGCGCCGACCTCCCCCCATCCCGGGCCACCGGGATCCCACCCGCGCGGGGAGGAGGCGTGTTGCCGCGGCGCGGATGTTGGGGCGCCCGGCCGAGAAGGAGGAAGAGGAGGGCGCGGAGGAAGGAGAGCTGGGGTGCCCGGCTCGGTCGGGATTCCCCGGCTGCCCTCGCCCCGCTGCCGCGCTCCGCCCCCCACCCCCTTTGGGAACCTGCGCTCCTGGGGGTGGCCGCGCCAGGCTTGCAAAGTGGGTCCCGATTGAGAGAAAGGACCACAGCAGGAAATTACCTTCCTCTCCTGAGAGCTTTCCAGACCCGCTTTTTCTTCTGTGGGGTCTCCGCGCGGTTGGACAGGGTGGTGGGGCTGGGCTGACTTCCATTCTCCCGGGGCTGATCGCCGGGCACACGTCAGCCACGAAACCTCCTCGGAGTGGGTTTTAATGAGGGACTTTGATAGAGAAATCTGCAAGTGTCTAGACTTACAGGAAGGAGACTGCAGTTCCCCGGTGGCAGGATTTAACTTACTAATGCGATCCATTTACTGAACCCCTCAAGTTCAGTCGTGGGGGACACCCCAGCTTGGTGAAGTCAGGTGAAGAGACTGTTTGCAGGGGGGCTAGAGTTTATCCAAAATTAATCTGGGCCACCACTTTCAGGGAAAATAGAGGGCTTGTAAAAAAGAAAAGTTCCTTCCTCATTTCACGATAGGGACTTCTATAAATTTTGCATCTTTAAAATGGCAGCAGAGACCATAGACTCATACAGTTGGAAGGCGCTTTGTAGACAGTATTTTGTCAAACCAGAGGTGGTTTGAAAGCCTGTTTTACATCCCCGCCGGCAGTCTGACTCCTGAACACTCATCTATGAACCACCACTCCAGCAGCCTCAGATGATGACAGTGTCCCAGAATGGGTTAATCTCTCTCACAGAGTTAGATCTGGGCACAAAGTAGAAGATCAGCAAATGTTTGTTACTATTATTACATAATGCTTATTACTGAAATAGCTTTGAGGTGTGTTTGTGGCGGACAGGGGGCAGAGTTAAAAAAATAAGACTTAGGGAAGGACTGGGAATGTGGATTTAAGCTATAAAAGAAAAGGGCTGGGGCTCTGTGGTTACAGAGGACCACCCTGAACCAGCAGGAGGGACAAACAGTAAGGAGGAAAGTGACATCAATTTGAAAAAGGAGAATGGTCAGGTCCAGCTGCCTTTAATAAGTGTGATTTGAAAGAGGGGAGACTTTCAGTATTGCATCACTTTTGTTTTATTTCTATTTAATTTTATTAATATCTATAAACTCCTAAATGTTATCTTCTAAGTGACACTTACGAGCTTTTAATTATTAGAGGACTTTTTCCTTCCTCCCTGATTTCATCAAGAAATCCTTCCTGTTCTGAAGGGGGCTCTGCCCAGCATTCCTAAGCAGGGGTAGGTGGTCTTTCCCCTTCCTGCCTACAGTCCATGAAGTGGAGGGTTTGAGAACACTGTCTTTACTGATGGCAGTAAACGCAGTCAGAAACAGCAAGGAATTTGAGGGCTGGAGTTTTGGTTTTTGTATTTACACATTTTAAACCTTCTATTTTTTGTTTGGGGTGTGTGTGTATTCTGCATAGGATTAAATTAACACCTGATACAGCTAGCAGTATTTCTGCTCTTCTATTTAACCAACATGATTATAATCCAAGCACCAGCACAAGTCCCCACAGGGCCTTGGTAAAAGTAAGCCAGCAATTAGAGCATGTGAAATCTCTCAAACTTTAAATGTTAACTCAAAACTTGGAGATCAAAACAAAATCTGTCTACTTGTGTGACCTCTGAATCAATGAATAATTTGAGAAGTGAATCGTGTTGATCTAGGAAAATATCCTAGAAATCAGGGTGAGGTGGTCATTTCAGGGACTCACAGAACACTATTATGTTATGTTTTCCCGCATTGTTATCACAGGACAGTCCACTCCCATGGCAGCCCCTGCATTTGCTTCAAATACTTATAGAGCCCCTACTGTGTGCTGAGCAGTGTCCTGGGGATGGGGGTAGGGGAGGGGGGCATCTTTCCCAGGACTTGTTGGTACCTCTCTGAATGAACAACAGCCTGTTGGTTCAGAATACTCTAGGAAGAATGACTATTTCTGGCTTAAATGAGAGAATGTAGATTATTTTCTACAAGCTTTAGAACACTAGTGAAATGTTCTTTTATAAGGGAAGGTGGCACATTCATTCTAGGGTGGGCATCTTTACCATGGAAACCAGACAGCTCTCTGCCATATGCCTCCCCAGTTTGACTTACCCTTACTATCAGCCCTTGACTAACCTCCAGTCCTGGCCACACTCTGCCCCCTATCTACCCACAGAGATACCCAAGACAAGGGAGAGACAGTTTATTCCCTAAGCCTGGAAAGAAAGGCAAAGTCCTTGTCCTCTTCTTGCATTATTTCTGGATTAGCATTTGTCAAGACCCACAGATGCCTGAGACGCCTACCCTAAAAAAAAATCAAGTGAAGTATTAATATAAATTTCCAAAGAGTCAACTAAGCCCATGATTGGGAAGGAGTGAAGAAGGTGTTGAAAACTATAAAGTTCTCCATTAATGTAAGAAGTTGTTGGACCTTTTGTATTTTATTATTTTTAAGATTTGATATAATGCTACATTATTTTCTTGGAAATAGCTACTTGTCAAACTATTTGAGGACTCTACCTAAGGCAAAATGCCCTTTGGAACAAAGGAGAAACACTCATTCCATTCCTACAGCAGCCTTCACCCCAGAAAATTGAGCCTTATCTCAAGGGGAGGAAAAATGCTGGGGCCAGCAAGATTTGAATGCATCTCTGTCCAACTTTCAACTCACCCTCCGCTCCCTCTGTACTTCTGCTTCAGGATATCTGCCCATAGAGGCCTCATTTGTAAAATGGGGGTAATAATGATTTACCCTTTTACAGTTGTTTTTTGGACTAAATAACTCCTTCAAAAGTGTGTTGCAGAGTTCCAGGCCCAGAGAAGTATCCTATATGAGTAGCTTCTTATAGTTATTATTACAGCACATAGTCAAGGTTTTGTCAAGTAAGGTGAAGAAAGCCCAGGAGACACCATTTCAGACAACCAGTAAATGGCAACTTCCACAATATTAAATAAGAGCAAACCAATACAGAGATATAGAGCTGATGGTTTGAATCCTTCTGAAAGGCTGGTAGAAGAAAAGGTCAGTAAATAACAAGAACTTTGGAAAAGAAAGGCAATCCAGGTATCAGCAAATACTGTACCAACTTCTCAATACCCTTTATGTGCCTTCCACTATTTCCAGATCCATCTTAAATTTATGTTGTCCAATTCATGCTGTTATTCCAAGATCATTATTTGGACATTTACAGTTAAAGATAAATGCAGTTAACACTGAGTTTTATGTCTCTGAGAAAGATATCTTTGTCTTTCATCACTTTTCTGTTAATGCACATTGCTCTGTGATTTGTTTAGGGAATAATCAGGCTTAACTTGAACATAGCTCAGGGAATGAGAGTCTGGGAAGGAATCAGTGATGCAGTCTTAGTCCTTGGAGATTACTGTTTCTCAAATCTATCACTGCATCATAATGGGCATTCATTAGTCTTTGTATTTGAACATCTTAGGATACCGCAACAACTCCAGATAAATAAACAAAAACGTATATAACAGCTGAACTGGCATTTATGGTCAGTAACCTGGCATGGAACCTGTTAATAAAGATGCATAAATGGTTACAGAATTCATTAGCGGATGAATTTGCTCTTTTAGGATATATATATTTCTCTCAGAATACTCCCTCTCCTATCTGTCTGTCTATTCTTGGGTTATTGCTTACTTTTGCCTGGGTGCTTGTCATTACTATTGAAAAGTGACTTCTAAGGATCATTTGAGGCTTAGGATGAATGGTCTTTTTTTCCAGAGGATTTACTTTTGCTTTTTTGCCAGGTCCCTCAGCCACACTATTAGTCTAAAACCACTTTAACTTAAATTTACTGCTTCAAGTTCTTTCGACCACCCCAGTGATGTAAATTTGAGTTGCAGTTTTGCACACAAGGGCCAGATTGTGAATATACCCTCTGATGGGCCCCACCCCTTACTTACACTCTCAAAGCCAAGGCAACTGTCTTTACAGCCTTCAGGGTAAGACGTGAGTTAATTCTAATTCACTCTCATTTTTAGGATGTGACTCTTTGGAACCTCAGCCTAATATCAGGTTTTTATCCTCTTGGGTGAGTTTTAGCCACTGATTTCTGTTTCACCTCCCCAATGAGGCTGTCAAAATCAATTCAAACCTTACTCATCAGCAAATCTGCCCGTCTGAAGAAAAGTACCTCCCTGCATGCTTAGCTCTTGAGTTCTGTTTTCCCATAGATTTTGGCCTGATAGTCACCTACTGTCTTCTCAGCTATTTGTTGCTTCTAACTAGCATTTTAATTTTTTAAAAGATTTTATTTATTTATGCATATAGAAATGGGGTACAGGTCAGAGGTGCAGGGGTGGTGAGAGGATTCTGAGGATTCACCAGAAACAGAGTGGGGAGCAGAACAGGCAAATTGACTGAAATACACTGCTGAGGGGAGCAGCAGGCAAGACAGGAGAGGTCTGCTGTGGCATGTGGGTCACCTCCGTGGCTGGGGATGCAGCTCATGATTTAGTGGCTGTGGATAGCTTCATAGTGCTGCATTTCAATCCCTTGTGCCACCAAGGAGGCCTCTTTCCTACTGTTTGATGACTAAATAATTTTTTTCAATTTAGAATAAATTAGTGCACATGATGGAAATATTTCTCTCTACAAAAGAGCAACCATATTAGATGCTGACATAACTTGCTTTTAACAGCACATGGTGTGTGAAGTGACTTCCATCTGTTGGCCACTATCACTTCCTTTAAAATCTTATCAGCCATTCTTTCTGAATTTCAAATTTATTCTAGAAATTAATTTTGCTATGACTGACTGTAGAAC